TACCCGCATCCCAGTCGGAAAAAGTGACTGGACAGAGACATGTCGAAGGAAGTAAGAAGCCGGATAGACAAGGGGGAATGGGTAGCCCTGGTGGGCGAAGATGTCAAGTCTGCCTTCGTGAGACGAGATAGGGTAGTAGCACACATTGAGAGAGTGGATAGGAACCTGGCAGCCTTCGTTCAGGGATTCCTGCAGCCCACGTCCTTCAATCTGAGCTGGGGCGGCAAGAGACGACCCACATCCACAATGACAGATGGCACGCTACAAGGGTCACCTCCTCTTTCTAGTAGGAATCCAGCCTTCGTCAGAGCAGCCAGCCGAATGACTTTCATACGCATACACGTCGATGACTTCCATGGAGTCTTGTCAAGCCAGTCACTCACGCAGCTGAGGTGACCATTAGAACCCACCAGGCCCAGCTAGAATCCTAGATCAGGAAGGCTATGAGCTAGACCAAGGAAAAAGGGAGGTGATGATCTTTGGAGTCAAAGGACCGGACTACCGTATGGCAGGCTTACTGGAAGACTGGGAACTGAAGTTCAACTGGCACTTCAGACAGAGACTGAGCCTAGAAAAGGCCGCATGGGCAGTAGCAACAAGACTAGGGCAGCTAGGTCCTGCAAAGAGGAGACAGATATACACTAGCATAGCTAGAACAGTCGCCACCTGGGGGAGCTGGGCATGGAGGGGCTACACTTTTTTTTTTTTTTTTTTATATCATTACTCGCTTGCCGCCTGTCAGGCTATGGCGAGGAGGAGGGGCTACACGAAAGGTGCACCCCCAGAGCAGATGCTGAGAGAGCTAGAAAAGTGGCAGTACACGACAGCCAGAACCATAACCGGGGCCCCCTGGGGAACCCGTAGAGACGTAGTGGAGGGCCTGGCGAACCTGAAGTCAGTATACACCTTCTTTTTTTTTTTTTTTTTTATATCATTACTCGCATGCCGCCTGTAAGGCTATGGCGAGGTGTATACACCTTCGTAGAAGGCGAAAGAGCACGGGTCGAGTCCAGGACGCTAAGGTTCGAAGGGGAAGCGCCCCTCAGCGAGGAGGAGGGCTCACTAATGTGGAGGAACCCCCTCCCACTGGCGGTACTCAGCACGCTAGACGCCCAAGCAGAGAGACATAAATGGGAGAGAAGAATCGAAGAGGAGTCTTTTTTTTTTTTTTTTTTTTTTTCACGTGACCCCGCATGCAGCTGTTCGCCAAGGCAGGGCTCGAAGAGGAGTCAGATGAGGGGTGGAAAGCGGTGTATACTGACGGGAGCAGGATCACGGAGAAAACTGGGGTAGGACTGTGGCGGGGAAGGTCACACTCATTCTACATAGGTGCCAAATACATAGGTGCCAAAGCCACGGTGAACGATGTAGAGCTAGTGGCCATGGCTAAAAGCCCTATAAGAGGGGGACGAGGAGAAACTCCTAGTAACGGACTCCAAAGTGGCCATTCAGAAACTCAAATCCATAGCCGAGGGCAGCCCAACACCTGGCTGGGTGGCCCACCTAGTCAGAGAAGCGTGGGAGAGCAGAGCAACCCGAGGGGGATTGGTGTGGCAATGGTGTGGGTAAAAGGACACAAGGGCCTGGAGGGCGCTGAAAGAGTGGACAAGGCAGCCAAAATCAGCGCTCTCCTGCCTTACCAGGGCGAAGTGATCATGGAGGCCGGAATGCTCATGGAGGCGAAAGCGCAGCGGGCAGAGGAAAGGGACAGGCTGAGACTGGGTTACAGACCACTATCACGAGACAGCCACGCTGGCAGGGCTGCTGGGGGGGGAAGGCCACAGGGCCTGGAAGTTCAGAATAGGCAAGGCAGAGAGTCCAGACTAGTGCCGCCGGTGAGGGGAAGGGGAAGAGACAGCAGAAAACATCTGGGAGAAATGCAGGCTCAGGAGGCAGAGGTGGCCTGGGGGTAAGGGGGCAGTGAACGAACCCCCGAAGGCGAAGGAGGATGGCAGAGACCCGTTGGTTGCGTTGTTGGAGTGGGCGGGGCGATGATCAGTATTTTCACTTAGTTTCTTATCTTCCCCGGCGGTATCTCCTTAGTCCCTTACGGACCCTTACCTTCTTGGCAGAGCTTCTTCTTAACTTTATTTCCTTACTCTCCTATATACCTAACCTCGCCATAGCCTATAGGGCGGCACGCGAGCAATGATATTAAAAGGAAACAAAAGAAACAGCCAAGATATTACACTAGTTTAGCTAGCCCCACTCTCCGCGCGACGCTCCTGCTAACCCGCACGTCCAACAACTCCAGACGATTGCATTTGAGGGATTTACTAGTCTGGTTGCACCAACCCTCCGACCGTAAGGGATTTACCAAATTCTAGGGAATGTCAACAGGGAAGAGTTAGGGATCGCTGCGCCGCAAGTCATTCGATTCGGTTCCGTAGCAACGATGACAGATCCCCCAATCTCCTCGGGCAATTAAGGGCTGCAGCCCCCAATATCTACCACTTTTCACACTGCCCTATCTTCTTCAATTTTGGTAAGTATCAAAGTCTTATAGATTTCAATAGTCGGGAAGGTCCTAAGTCTTTGGAACACTGTTAGGGATAAGTGAACGAGACCCATCAATTTTGATCGTTGCACCAGCAACAACTAGCAAAAATGTTGTTTTGACTATCTTGATTGCGAAGCAGCGTTACTAATATCCCTTGCGCTGTCCTGACCCCCCTGTTCCTAAATTTCATGAATTTCGTTGGGAGCAAAGCCATTCCGACAACATTCGAAGAGTCACCCAAGGATTTGCTAATCCACCTATTAGAGGGATTTTGCTGGCACCAGTGAGGGACGACTGCGCCACACGCTAGAAAATCCTACGGAAGGAATTTCATCCCTGGGTCCAGGGCTGGATCCCTGGAAACCACCGCTTTTTGATCCCCATCTACCTTCACCAGTTTTTATTCAATTTTCATTCTGAGAGCTGACATCGATTCAGTGAACTGATTCACATGGTAAAACAAAAATCAGGGAGTGTCTGAGGATGTTGAGTTGTGATACACGTAGTTCAAAAGTGCTCCATCTTCATGGGAGCAAATGCCAACACCATGGCCTGTACTGCCTACAGTTACACCAGTTACCAGTCCTAATTAGTAGTAGTAGTCATAGCGCACCCGCAATTGAGTGTTACTATCGCGAAGTCAGTGATTATTAGCGACTGGGCGCGAAGGGGAGAAAACCTGGAGTATTCCTGATGCAGCAAAAAAGAACAGTCTCTAACCAGGGTATACTCGTTACCAGCATTAGTGATGCAGGTGGGGCAGTTATGGCCGTGCGAGAAAAGTCTACCGGATCAGGGATGGATATTACTACTGACGGGTATTTTCCATACCCAAAGTCAGGTACAGCCCTTAGCCTCACCTGCTCACAGACCACTTGCACGGCCTATACCTTGGCCCCCACCTACATTACTAAATGCTGGTAACGAGTACCACCATCCGGCTCCTCTGCTCTTAACTCAGTAGTACTCCATAGTTTCTAAACCTCGACGTCCACTGTAATCGCGATCGGCGCTTCCTACTTAAATATGCCATATCCAAGTACATACTCACAGTGCTGCCCCATGCCAGTTATGATTGGCTCCGCCAAGCAAGTTAGGCTTGGTGTATTAACTAGGTTTGATTCTAGCTGTGCCGTTCCTAGCCTTGCGGAGTAAGCATTACGGCATGCAGCGTCCAAAGTGGAGTGTCAGCTTCACTGCTTATTAATTGTGAGTGCCACAGCAGTACTTTGTCGCTGAAAATATGAGACGCGCCTCTGCCACAAATGGAGTGTGAGATATTTTGCATCAGTAGGATAGTTTTCAGTATCAACAGCGAGCACGGCCACCCCTGTAGCCGCAAATAAACTGCCCAGTTCCTGCACATCACCTGAATGGTGGAGGTTTTTTTGCTTCCTTTGGTTAATTGGAATCTATGCAGGCAAATTATCCAGGACCATGTTGCGCGCCGCCTATGATAACCATGTGGGACGTTGGATTAATATCCCTGCCACGCCTTGGCAATGTGCACGTTATTTGTTGCGTGGCAGAGACAACGCTCCACTTAAGATTAAGTACAGTTGAGAATGCGTCGCACGTCGGTTATCAGGTGTTTCAGCCACAGCTGGGTTTGCAAACACGGACTGAAGCCTGGAGAAATCACATGTCAACCTTGGGGCTGCCAGGCTAAGATTGCGGGGGTCCTCAGACAGCCATTGAAGGTGGCTTTTGACGTAGGGGTCACTAAGCTTTGGGACAGGACATTGCACTACAATATCTTAAAGAGGAGGGTAACTCTACAGAGACTGGGTAGATAGGTACATACCTTGGCGGGCCTCTTAGCAGGAAAGGGCCTGAGGGCATGGAGACACAAAACAGGCGAGGGAGACAGCCCGGAATGCTGATGGTGTGAGGACTAGGAGAAGACGGCGACACATATATGATATGGAACAGATAGCGGGTCTGGAGGCGCAAGTGTGCAGGCGGGCTGGAGGCGATACACAAACCTCCTCGGCAAGAGACGGAGAGGAGGACCCCATGGCAGAAGTGATGAATTGGATAGGGAGATAGCTTTCCGATTTTGACTCTACTTTAGCTTGTTTTATTTCGTTGATTTTATGACCGTTTATCTTAACCTTGTTATAGCCCATAGGGCGGCATACGAGTAATGATATTATTAAAAAAAAAAAGAAAAAAAAAAAGGAGGGTAACTTGCACAGCACAATCTTAGATACGGGAAAAAATAATATGGAAATCTAGGTGCCGGTGGAAAGGCACTGAGTGAAACCCATATTCTCAAGTCTGCCAGTTATGATTTTGTCAGACAGAGACGAGCGCAAACACAGTACTGCTGGGATTGGAGATTGGCCAGCAAAACGCCGTGGAGGAGATGTCGCACGGGTCGCAATCACATAGCTCTGCTGCTTGATTTTCACTGTTACTCTATGGTAATCTCCTTAACATTGGCATCGAACTAAACTCTCGATAGAAATATGCAAAGTGGTGAGATTTCCACCAATCAGCTTCCTTGGCTCAGTTGGTAGAGCGTTGGTCTCATACACTGCATATGACGAATCTGCTAAGATTTGATATCCAAAGGTCGTGAGTTCGAGCCTCACAGGGAGCACTTGGTTGCCTATCCTTTTCTAGATTCCGGAAAAGTTGCTCTCTCATTTTTTTCCTCTCATTTTTTTTCCCTCTCATTTTTTTCCCCTTAGTCTCATAAGCAGCCCTTTTTGTTTATTGTATCTTTAATGTTTACGCTTACCCTGGAATCCTGGATTCGCCCAGTTGGCACGATCCCCAACTATAGATAATTCCAGACCATGAACTCCTAATCCCAGAAGATTATCCTAGTCTCGTAACCAGAGACAATCCATCCTTGCTCCCCTATCCAACAAGCAACTGAAATGCTCATCGCTGAAATACTGGTACAAGTAACCTTGGTCTTTTAGAATGGACAACGAGCCAACTTCGAGTGCGGGATTCACTTCTACTGTAATTTAGCGCCGCTATTGTGGTCCAGGGTTGTGGGAACTTGGCAAAAGCTTACGGTGGCCTTTCTGATAGCTTACCTACCCTTTGGAGTTATGTAAGTAAAGATAAGTATATGATATGAGGTTGAGGGTAATGGTATTCTAATGGGAACGCTCACAGGTGGTATTCAGAAATCTTCAGTATAGTACAGTGATCAAGTATAGAACCATGGCACTTGATAGTGCCATAGTCTGGTTGTACTACCCCTTTAGAGATGGTGCCAAAAACTCGAGTTTTGGCTTTCTTGAAAGACATGGTTACACTTCGTTTTGTTTTTGCTATTCTTCTATATTCTCCCTTCTGCTCATTATGTACTTAATCTCTCGCCATAGCCTGTCAGGCGGCATGCGAGTAATGAAAAAAAAAAAAAAAAAGACTATGCAACCAGGATCACGGGACACATCACCTGATGTCTATGCCACGTGAGTGTGTATTGATGATTTAGCATGCCCTCGTTGTAGGAATTAGCAACCTCATACTCGTGGCGAGATTGGCTACATAGGAAATAAAGGAGATAAAGTCTCAACAAATAAGGACATAACATAACTAGTGAGCGGCACGAGCTAGCTCGAGCCGAGCTGGAGGGTGAGCTCGAGCCAGCTCGTGAGTAAGTGAGCTCGGCTCGAGCCTGGATTGATTATATACATAATATTGACAAACTAAAATAAACTAAGCTAAATTTTCATCTTTCTCACTACTATCAGCTAAATTGTGCATTTCGAAGTTGTTGGTAGGTCAGAATGAGCTCCAAGTCTCTAATTTTTACTATATTAGGTATTTACAGTTTATGAAACCTTGCACTGGCTAAGCATTTTAGCGAGCTGTCAAGAAAAACACAAGCGTGATCTTGGCTCCTTTGAGCTCGAGCTGGCTCGGCTCGTGCCGCTCACTAAACATAACACAAACCCAAAACTTAAAGGACATGAACGCTTCTCAACTCATCTCTCCATCCAGCGCAACAGCTCCAGCAGGGCATCACCTTCTGCTCCCTCTGTTGCCGGTGGCTGATACACCGCTCGCAGACCCGCCGGCCATCTCCCCCTCTAAACTTCGCACCACCCCGGATTTGTGCCGCCGTCTCCTCTTCCTTCCCACAGCACCTGCATCCTGGGCTATCTGCCTTGCCTATTCTGTAGCTCTCTTTGCAATGGAGAGACTGTTACGGTTTCTACGATGATGTAGTGAATAGAGGGTGTAACTTAGGACAACGCTTGGTGCTTGACCTTTGAGAGGGCAGCTCTTGCTGGCCCTTCTTATAGTCAATCCTGCGTGACTTCCATCTACTGTCTAACTTGCTATGATATCATGATGTTCTATCCCTCAGCCACTGCCTCGCCTCATCTAGAGGTCCGTTCAGCGGCTCTGCTCCTGGAGGTCCATTCGGTGGCTTTGCTCCTAGAGGTCCGTCCGGTGGCTGACACTGTGCTATGACCATGCCGTCAGATCCTTGCAATACACATCCGTGCCTGACCCATGTTTCATTGCCAGACTGTAGCTATCGGTTGATCAGGCCGAATTGTCACTAGCAGCCTTACAGGTCAATGGGTGGATATCCCCTTCCCGGGTAGGCCCTGACGGAGTGTCACGGGCCCACCCAGAGATGCTGGGGATATCCACCTGAGTTGACCTGTAAGGCTGCTAGTGACCATTCGGCCTGATCAACCGATAGCTGCAGCAGGGCAATACAATTGACAGGTCGGGTCACGGAAGTGTATCACAAGCAGAGCGCATGGTTGAGTGAGTGAGTTGCGCCACCGAGTGGCATGGGTACGCACGCGTAGGCTTATTGTGCACAGCCTTAGCTACCAAGACGTTATTGATTGTTAAGCGTTGATATCGAATTTTTTTTTTTTCAATACTCGCATGCCGCCCTATGGGCTATGGCGAGGTTTTATTAAAATAAATGGGAAAGTAACGAATAGATAAATAAATACATGTAGTGCCCGCGATGCTCGTACATGGTGCAGGTTGAATACAGGAGCCAGTATGTTCGGGGACCATGTCACCCTTCCTACTTCCGTCCTCTGTCCCATTCATACTGGTCCGCTCTCAGCCACTTCCTCCGAGTTTCACTCTCCCAACCTCGGTGGTTGTCTCCAAGTACACTACCGCTGAACTGGTTTTCTTTCCTTCGTCAACCAGTGCGGTCATCTTCCTCAGCCAGCGGATTCCTGTTATCTTGCCTAGATCCTTGTTCGCTGCCTCCAGCCATTTTCGGACCTTCCCTAAGTCCTTTCTTAGGGCAATTCCATGTACTACGATGCCGGCTTTTGAGGATATCGATTGTTAAGCATAGATAACATAAGCAATAGAACATACAATGGGTGTGCGCGGGGAGCTGGCTATATAACGAGGGCTTTCTGCCCTCGAGAGATGGTCAAGCTTCAAGCGTTGTCCTAAGTTACATTGCTACATCATCGTAGACTCCGTAACACAGAGACCCAGAGCAGCTCTTATCCACAGTAACGATGTGGATACAAACACCACAGATATGGCAAGATTAATACAATCTATGAAAGATGAGAGATGCGAGTTCGTTGCGTTGCTCGTTCCATTGCTCGATCGGGCTCAACATGAGAGAGTGACCTCTGGGACCAGATCAAATGTTATAGAGCTCAACAAGAAAAACTAAAGGTGCCTTGAGTAGCTGAATATGGTAGATACTCTCTTGTTCTAATGTGTTTAACAACTATCACCAGTACTCAAGCGCAATGACTACTATTCTGGTGTGGGGAGGCTGAAAGAATTGGTATTGCACCAGAATAGGCCAAGCCTTGTGATACCAGGTTGTCACTCTGGCATAAAGGATGGATCGTTCTATGGCTTCGTTGATTATTCTTCTTTGATTATTTGGACTTCTTTCATTATTGGAACTCCTTGACATAGAATCTTCCTTTACTTTGTGATTCAAGTTATTACTTTCTTTGCTTCCCTTGTTAATATGCTGGAGTCCAGGAACAAGACACTAGGCAAGACCGTTGGGATACGTTGGCTTAGACGAAAGACCGCGCTGATTCAAGAAGGCAAGAAGACTAGCTCGGTCGTGGTGTACTTGGAGGCAGCGACGGACATAGACAGAGTCAGGCTAGGAGGGAAATTGTTGAGCACAACTCAATACGAGCCAGACAGGAGGAGGAAATAGGCTGTATTGATTTCATACCCTACCCGCACCATGTACGAGTATCGCGGGAACCACGTGTAGTTAGTTACTGTTGCGCTTTTTTCTTCTTTAATTAACACCTCGCCATAGCCCATTGGGCGGCATGCGAGTATTGATATAAAAAAAAAAAAAAAATCCCTTGTTAATATATAGATTAAAGTAGCATGTTTGTTCTGTAATTAGGATAAGCAATCTTTTCGGCACTCCTCCAATACTACACTTTGCACCCACGTTCCCATTCGCTATTCAACATGTGAATACAAGCCTTGTGTGTGTATTCTGCCAGTTCTCACCCTTCCGGTCTCGTAGTACATGGAATTGCGGTGACAAAGAAACTCGGGAAAGTAAGAGATTGGATGGAGAATGCGAACCCATGGATGGGAAAGATTGTTGCGGCAAGATGGTTGGTGAAGAAAGAGAGGAGGGAGGGAAAGAAGGCTAGCTCGGTTGTCATCTACCTGGAGGGGGAGGTGGAATCGGATAGCCAAACACCAGCGAAGGTAAGGTTGTCAGGCAAGTGGTACGATTCGTGCCTGTATGACTGGGATAGAAATTCAAAGGTGGACAGAAAGGGGAAGGGGAGGGAGGTGGAGGAAATGGACTTGACGGCATAGCGGGTTGTCTCATGGGTTTTATTTCCTCTATTCCCTTTTGAATGTCGGTGTATATAGTGAGTTGTTGTTTGTTTTTAGGTGCCTGTCTCCGAGCCATAAGGACCTCGGTCCAGGGACCCTGCCATGGCGAACAGCTGCAAGCGGGGTTATGTGAAAATAAAAAAAAAAAAAAAAAAAAAAAACCCTTCCGGTCACTCTGAGGATAGTAGACACTATCGCTGTCCTCTTACACTGGATGAGAAATTGCGTATTCAGAACCATTTCAACTCCAGAGGTGCAGTAAGTATGTTGATACAAGCCTTGGATACAATGATTATATGTTTAGCTCCTTCAATTATACAGTCGAACTGGTTATATTGGATAAGGCTGGGACAGGCGCGTTTTATCCAATAAGACAAGATATCCAATACTCACCAAGGCGCAATTGGCTCGGGCCGGCATAGTTGATCAGTGATAAGACAGGGTATGCTAGCGAACCTAGAATCAGTGGAGACATTTGTCGAATGGGAGGCTGAGAGAGTGGAGGCCAGAACACTGAGGTTCAAAGGCGAACCGTTGAAGGACCCGCAACCGGACACGAGGTATATGAGGGGGTCGCTGGAGCACCGCACACCCCTCCCCCTCCACATCAACCCCATACATCCCCGAGACCTGTCCACAGAGGAATGGGAAGCCATCATCGCAGAAGAGGAGGACGAGGGATGGGCAGGGATATACACCGACGGAAGCAGGATAGAAGACAGAACGGGCGCCGGAGTCCACCAGGGAGGAGGAAGGAATACCTCAATATACCTAGGGACACGGTGCACGGTGAAC